GGCATGGAAAATTAGGAGAGCACTTCAGAGGCTGCAGAGGCAACAACTGCAACACATCTCTGTAGCTGAGGCAGAAGAACTGTTTCCCCATGGCTGTGGAGTGGGTTTTCTTGCCTTCCTCAATTTTATTTTCTCAAGGCATGAAAGGGGAAAATCTTGACCTTCTAATACCATGTAGCCTTCCCAAATGACTCATTATTCACACTGTTTTTTACTGGAAAAGTAATAGAAAGTCTTTAATCCAGGGACAGTCATCAACTTCAACACCCATTTATTTTTTTACAGTTCCTGAAGATCATAAATTCATTGCACTACAGATCCTTGTTCTTTAGTCTGTGTGCTCAGGTTAGTGATGAATACTCCCCTCCTGTAGGGGATTCGGATTAAGGAAAATCACAGATGGATTTAGGTTGGAAGGGACCTCTGGAGGTCACCTGGTCCAAGCCCTGCTCCAGAGATGGTTAACCCCACCTCTAGATACTAAAGGTGACAGAGAACCTTTCCTCACTGCCCTTCAAGGCTGTGCCCAGGCTAAAAAACTCAGCAGAGCCTTTAAGTTTGCTCCTTTGACCTGAGTTTGTTCCCTCAACATCATCTCTCCCAAGTTCCTCTGGATCTTGCAGCTTAAGAAGATAATCACAACTACAGATACGGCAATTTTTAGTTGGAATCTTGGATCAGTCACTTGAATTGGGTACTTTCAAATGTAAGTTTTTATTCCATTGAACATCTCAAAATAAAAGAAACTGAAAAGCAGGGAATCATCCACATTTTACTTGGCCTCACACACAATGAACACAACTAAGAGGAACAAGGGCTCAAGAAAAACAGAGGAACAGCAAGAAATACTCCTTTGAGGATGGACTATAAATGACAGCATCAAAGCTACCCAGAAGGGGTTTCAAATTCTCCAGTGAAGTGGCACTGAGACACAAATGTCGTTTTTAATTTGTTAAGTTAAATAAAATTGATATGAAGGAGCAGGGAGGAATTGCTGACATAATTCTATACGTACTTTTTGTATAACATCACCATGTTCCAGCATTTAAAGGGTGGCTACAAAGAAGATGGAGACTCCCTTGTACAAGGAGTCACATGGAAAAGATGAGGGGCCAGGGGTACAAATTACTCCTGGGGATATTCCAACTGGACACAAGAGGAAAGTTTTTCACAATGAGAACAATCAGCCATTGGAACAATCTCCCCAGGGAAGTGCTGGATTCCCAAACACTGGACACTTTCAACATTCAGCTGGACAGGGTGCTGGGTTGCCTTGTCTAGACAGTGCTTTTGCCAAAAGGTTGGACCAGATGATCCTTGAGGTCCTTTTCAACCTGGTGTTCTGTGATTCTATGGATTGAGAAATTAAATCATCTGCTGTTTGCTTACAGCTGAGGATACATGAAGATTTGCTGCCACCTATATATTGTTTTTTTTCCTGGCTTAATTAAAAAACAATGTTATTCTAAAAAAAAGGTATATACAATCTGGGTAGGTATGCAAACTCTACAGCATGTTATACTTTATGAAGTAGCCCCTCATGACATGGAAAAGAATATAATCATGGCATAAAGAACTATCATTGACCCAAGAGAACAAAAATTTCTGTTCCTCCTGTTATTATTTCTTTCATTAAAACATGTGAGTCAAAATACTGTGCATCTGCATCTCCCCAGGATATTTTGTATTCCTGCCCTCTCAGTTTCTAAGTATTTATTCAATAACATTCAGCTTGTCTTCTGAAGCATGGCAGTGGTTTTACTTCAGCTTTTTCTTCTATGTAGACACAGGATGCCTTTACCCTGGCTAGGATACAACAGCATTTTTTGCATGTGAGAAAAGAGAATGAAAAAGTAAAGCAAATAGAAAGAAATATAAAATTTATCTTTAGTTTTGTATGGGAAACAAAACCAGAATTGCAGATCCTGTGAATGAACTAGCTGTGGTTAATTCTACAGAGATTTTCAGCTACTCATCTAAATACTTAGGTTAACATTTATGTCAGAGGTGTCAGGTAACAGAAGATGGAAGAGGATCCAGACTAATATCCACTCACACATTGTAATTTTTCATGCCTCAAAATGCTCAAGCACTCTGGCCAAATCCTGAAAGGCTCTCAAACACTGCAGGATTTGGCTGAAGGGATAGAAAAGTCTCGCAAGAGCCAGGCCTTATATTGTCAAGGTTTCTTTGGAGTCTCACTTCTACTCCCTGTTCCTTCCACTTAACTTCAGGAGTATCAGCATCCTGCTGCTTTCTGTGAGCGTTTTCAGGAGCTCAGAGCTCAGCAGGAATTCAAATGCTCTGCTGGCTTTAACTCAAACCAGCTGGCAGGAATGTCCCTGTATTCCTCTGGAGACAGATTTCATGGACTCTGCTTAGGAAAGAGCTCCCTCTGCTGCTCTCGCTGAGACCAAACCAGCCCTCTGAAGGAAGGGAACTATTTCAAACCACCTCCTGCAGCAGTGGAGCACAGGATCACAGCATATGGCACTAACTGGGGCAGTGGGGCACCTCACTATGGTCCGGTTTCTTCTTTTCAGGTCCCTCCACGATTACTGCATAAGGTTTGGAAATGTCAGCTCAGTGCATCAGTACAGCTGAGTGAATCACAGAATCACAGAACCAGGGAATCATCAAGGTTGGAAAAGATCTCTAGGATCGTCGAGCCCAACTGTTACCCCAGCACTGCCGTGTTCACCACTAAACACTGTCCCCAAGGGTCACAATCACACGCCTTTTGAACACTTCCAGGGATGGTGACTTCACTACCTCCCTGAGCAGCCTGTTCCAAAGCCTGAACACCATTCCAGTGAAGAAATTTTCCCTAATATCCAATCTAAATCTCCCCCAGCACGAGTTGAGGCCATTTCCTCTGGTCCTGTCACTTGTTATCTGGGAGAAGAGCCCAACTCCCACCTGGCTCCATCCTCTTGTCAGGGAGCTGGAGAGAGAGAGAAGATCCCCCCTGAGCCTCTTTATCTCCAGGCTGAGCCCCCTCAGCTGCTCCTCACCAGACTTGTGCTCCAGGCCCTTCCCCAGCTCCCTTCCCCTTCTCTGGACATGTCCTAAATGTCTTTCTTGCCACGAGAGGCCCAAAACCAAACACAGGATTCAAGGTGTGGCCTCCCCAGTGCCGAGTACAGGAGACAATCACTGCCTTGGTCCTGTGGCCACGCTATTCCTGATCCAGGCCAGGATGCCACTGGCCCTCTTGGCCACCTGGGCACACCTGGGCTCATGTTCAGCTGCTGCCAACCAGCACCTCCAGGTCCTTTCCCGAGGGACAGCTTTCCAGCCACTCTTCCCAAGCCTGTGGTGTTGCATGGAATTGTTGTGACCCAAGTGCAGCACTTAGCAAGTGAAGTTAGCACAAGAGTTTTCTTGGTCAGACATGGTCTTCCCAAAGAGTTTTATCCAGTTCACTATGCCTTTGACACTCATAAATAATGAACTACATATTGATTATCAAATACCAGGGATACAATTGTTCTTCTCAGCTTTGTCAGGGAGCTGCCAAAGCCCACTGAAGCTGAGTTCTCTACCTCAAATAATGCTGAATGTGAGGCAATAAACCATCCTGAGACTGGAAAGGATAAAGCAATGGGTCAGTACTACATTACACAGTCAACCTTCATGAAATAAGAGTTGTGTGGAGTCAGATCCCGTTGCTTCTGCTTCCACAGTGACTTATGAGCTGGCTCTCCACATTCACATGGAATCACATGAGACTTACTAAATCCTTCTGGAAGTAGAACATCAAAGATGGGTCTGCAGGCACCAGTTCCAGTCCAGAAACAGTTGAACAGCCACTACCTGACATGGCTCAGCTTTCCAGTAAAATATATAATGGAGAACTGACTTCCTGTGAGTTTTCAGACCTCAGACTGTAGAACTTAGGCCTGTTACTCAATAATCTTGAACAAATGAAGTTAGCTAGTACAGTGTAATGCTGCTGGCTATTTTCAGTTGTTTTTGGCTCCAGACAGGAAGCAAGTACCACTCCCGGCCCATTTTTAGCTCCAGTAGATCCCCAGTTTGTTAAATCCCACAGCCCCTAACATAAAAGTGGAGAGACCTAATATATAATTGCCTCCTTCTCAACAGGGCCTCAACACACAGTATCTCAAGATTTATAAGAAATTAAATTAGGGAACAAAGTAGCAATAGTAATTTTTAAAAATCCGGCTGCAGTTTTAGAGTATCAACAAGTTTTTGCAGCACTTAAAAAAAAGGCAACAAAACCTGGCTGCTGTTAAATTTAGTAAAACAGAAATACTACTTTATGGCCCATGGAAAGGGATGTGCCTTCAGTTTATGGAGCAGCAGGTGATGTAAACTGAAAGATACTTCTACCAGTTCTAAAACACACTCACCTCCAGCACGGGGAGAGAACAAGAGCAACCCTCAGGGTGCCTGAGCCTTGTGCATCACTTTACTACTGACATCTGTGTGCCCTGTAGGATGCAGGTTTCTCTCCACCTGCTCCCGCTTTCCCATCTGTAGTAGGGGCAGAGTGGCTGGTACTCACCCCATGCTCAAAGGTGTTTGAGGACTAGTGATGAGAAGTGCTGGATAATGAGGCAGCAGATTTTATCATGCAGATTTTATACCCACATGGAAAGGGCACAGCTGCCCTGCACTCAAATCCAGAGCATCTGCAGCGACTCAGAATTCCAGAGTCGTTCAACTCTCATGGATGACTCCACCTGAAGCATTTCAAAACCCAACCCAAGTCACAGCCCCACTACAAAGCCAGCTTAGAGAGATCCCAGTCTGGGTCCTACTGCTTAGGAACCCCCAGATAAACAACATCCCACGCCTCCCACTCTTAAATTCTACACAGAAAGAAAAATATATTAAAAAAAGAACAATTTAAAGTATAAGATAAAGAAAAATACATATTTGGAGCTCACAGGAAATTCTTCTAAAATTTCTATATCTATGTGAGTTAATGCAGGAGAATAAATTTAACACAATATTCTTACAAATACTCTTACCTGTGGCCTGACAACCGACTCTCACTTTTCTTGAGGGATCTTTCCCTTTTCTCTCTCCCAGACCCCGAATGCCTGTGAGGGGCACTCACTTTAAGGCTTTTTTCACTGCTGTCTGCACCAAAGCTTGGAACTGATTTTCTTTCCTCTGTCTTGGTCCTCTCTCTCTCAGACAGCAGCCTGGCAATAAAGTCATCTGGATCTTTGGGGACATTCCTTAGTTTTTCAGAGGCTGAACTCATGTGTGAGCCTGGCACAGTCTTTGATGCAAACTCCACGTTTACTTGTGTTGGAGATCCTCTGCTTTCCTGAAAATCAGTACTTGGGACTCTCAGGTCATGTTCTTCATGCTCTTCACCCTTGACCTGTGCTGTGCTGCTTATGCTGGTGGATCTTCTTGAAAGCCTCCTTTTTTGGAGATCCTGGAAATAAGAGCCAGACATTAAAATTTTATCATCTTTAAATAAACATGAAAGGCAAAGGAAAGCTCTAGCACTAACTTCTGGGCTAAGCAATTTGCTTACTAGTAGGAATCAGGTTATAGAGTAAATCAGAATTTTTAAAAATTGATAATAAATAGAGACACACTTAAAATTTACTTAAATTTTGAACAGTATTAAAGAGGACCTACAAAATTAAAAACTGCTTTCTTTTACCCAATGACATCAATGAAACACTTCCTAAAACCTTAACTTTGGGGTTATATCCAACTCAAGAAACCAAGACATATAAGAAATTTTACTGGAAAGTCTGCCCACCACAGGTATCTAGTCTTTATTTCCAAATCAAGAGATATACAGAAAAATCCAACTAATTAATTTAACTTCCATATGCTCTTCAGTATTATCTAAATTATATACCTAGAATATTTAAATTTCTCATTATTGCAAGCTTAATTTTACACAGGGAAAGTCCCTGTCTATATAAAAGGAGCATGAAGTAAAAAAAGTAGGCAGGTCTTTTAACTGTTTTGAAAACATTTATTGCTGGAATATGGTCTGATGATTTGATCAACTCAGAAACATATTTCTAACTGAAAGCAGTTTTCAGTTCCAAACTGCTACTGATTAAATGGGAAGTTTTGGAAAAACCTGAGTACAACAGATACTGTGAAGGTAAAAAAAGCAATTTTCCCAGGAAAATGGAAAATCCAATCTATCAAGAATTATCAAGAATGGGAAAGATTTATAAAGGAATTGGTGACCAAAATCACAGGCATGCAGGGGGTAGTTGCCTGCAGTGGTTATACCTGAAACAGTTTGAATTTCTGAATTAACCAGAACAACTTCCCTAACCTACCACATCTTTTCAGCCTGCAGATTTAATGGATTAACATGCAGGAGTCATTTCAATATTATTTGCAAATGACTTTATTGCAGAAGGTTAGATAAAAAAAAAATCCATGGTAAGCCAAATATTTTGTAAGTGCTGGGAATCACCTCTGGTGAACTTGCTACTGGTCCAACCATCATTCCTCTGGCAATGAGACCAGACCTGAGCTTTGACTTCTCCTTCACTGTGGATTTCGTCTCCTCGGAAATCGTTGCTGCTTTTAAATCTTCTTGACTATCTTTTAACTTTTTGTCCCCATCAGAGGGTAAGTGGCTGTTGGGTATTGTTCCTGTGTGGCACTTTTCACTTCTGTGCTGATGCCTTCTGGATGAAGGAATTTTATCCAGTGGATTCTCAACATCATATCTACAAGGAAGAAAAAGGAAGAGCTTGAAACAGCAAAATAATGCACCATTAAGTTAATGAAGACATCTACTTGGCTAAGTAAAGCACTGCTGTCAAATTAACTTATATTTTATCTAGAAATGGCACTCAAATACAGTCACCTTTCACTTAAACATCTGTATGTAGGTCTTCAGGACATTATTTCAGTGTCACTTTTATACGTCACAACTGGTTATAATATGTATAACACTTTACTCTTATGCTTACTGATTTTGATATGTAATGGGTTCAAACTGAAAGAGGGGAAATTTAGGTGAGATACACAAAAGAAATTCTTCCCTGTGAGGGTGCTGAGGCCCTGGCACAGGTTGCCCAGAGAAGCTGTGGCTGCCCCATCCCTGGAAGTGTCCAAGGCCAGGCTGGACAGGGCTTGGAGCAACCTGGTCTAGTGGAAGGTGTCCCTGCCCATGGTAGGGGGTGGAACTGGATGGTCTTTAAGATCCCTTCGACCCAAACTATTCCATGATTCCATGATTTCCTAGGAGGGGGCCACTTTGCTGTAGAGGGAACGCAGGGGTCAGTTAATGGTGCTGGTCCTGCTGTGCCCTCACAAAGCAGTGTCAGGGACTCCTCTGCAGGACAAATCCATAGAGAAAGGAGGGGGGAAAAAAGAGGAAGAAAAAAAGAAAAGAGGAAAAAAGTTGATTCCTTTGCCCTGCCTCCTTTTCAAATGTTGCTTCGAAGCCCAACTTAAAACATCTTGGCTTTCTTCCCCTACTAAAATGAGTTGGTGGGTTTTTTTTCAAGCACTGACACTCAGATTTAGCTGCTTTGAACATGGGTTTAGGATGAGGAATAAAATCTGATTAATTCCCTAGGAGAGCAAGCTGGGAAGGTAAATTACACTTTTGTGCCAATTTTAAAAGCTCTCTGTGGAAGCCCGGGGCTGTTAGTCCTCCTTGAGGCACTAATACATGAAAAACTTGGTTACATATTGTTTTCAGGTATTCTGCAAGATGAAAACAACCTACACTATCTGTAACAACACCGAATTTAAAACATTAAGCCTTGCTTCTATGTAAGGCATGAATATACCTGCAGTTTGAGCGTAGGTGCTTTGTTTCACATCCAAACATGCTTCAATGTGAGTATTTCCAATTTATATGGCATAAAAGCTCACATTTCTATGTCCTTCAGTGACTAAAAGATGTAATTGAGATTATCAATCTTCATAATTGGTAGGGAACATAAAAGACCATTTTTGAAGGGTGGCTTGCACAGGAGATTTTAATAATCTGTATACTTAAGCTTTGTGCTACTAGGATAATTAATAAAAGGTAATGTAGGCGAAGGTATAAATGATAAAATTTTTAACACTATTTCCCTTAATTTAAAAACAAGTGAAGACACAGGACAAAGAGAAATAAATCATACTGTACCTGGAAGCTTGAGTTTTGCTTTCATCAAGTGTAATGGCATTCCCATGCACATGATCCTCATCCAAGAGGTCGGGTGGATGGGATGTCGAGCTCTTACTCTGAGGAGCTGACAGAGTAGAACTGGAACCAGTGCTCCTGGAAGTCCCACGGTGTTCAAGGAAGTAATTAGTAATAATTTCAAGAAGTGTTTTCAGTGGGTTCTCCTTTGCCTTTCCCAAAAGAAAAATGGAGTTCTTGGTGACTTTTGAAATGCTTTGTTAGTCTTACTGCAGCCTAAGACAGGATATCCTTTTTAACCTGTGCAGTAACTAAACGTATTAACTATTTCCATGTGTGTACCCCAGATGTGACAGTACAAACAACCCAGGAAAATGGAAGATGTCAGCTAGAGAAGGTTAAGAGCTTGAAGGTCCTGCTGTGTTAAATGAATTAAGCATGACACAATAAAAACAATGTGTTACAGTCATTTCTTACCCTCACTTTAGCTAAACATTGCAAAGGGTGGTAACTGTGTCAGAACACTTCTTTTCTACACTGGGAGGATTTTTTGAGGTGACTTATAACAGGACTGCCTCATGCTGCTTATCAAAGGCATTGTGGTGCCTTAAGTCATGAGTGAACTGGAGATGGATATTACCCTGTCATCAGCTATTGCTGTCTACATTACATTTCAAAGGATAATAAATGCTAGAAGTTTAATTTTTATGTGCTGTGTTGTATATAAAGTCACTAATAGAAATGGGCATGTAAAGGTACTTCCACATTTTGGGAAGCACCATGCACTCCCTTACCTTGTTCTGCTTGTACAAGGAGTGCAGGTGTAGGACATTCCGAAGCTCATTCCTGTTATTGATGCTGAGCTCAGAACGTGGAAGCTCCCGGTCCATGATGGTGATGGTTTTCTTCAAACCCTGAGAAGGAAAAGTGTCAGTCACCAAACCTTTTATTCTGGATTTTGCTGGATGTAACATGAAGCTTGTGCATGGCAGTAATCAGTAACCAGCTAACCCTGAGAACCTGTGCCTTAACCCAACTAATTTAAGTGGTACAATACAAGATTACTATTTTGAGAGAGAAAGCCCCAATTCCTTCCATGAAGGGTTATTGTTACAAGAAAAGGATTTGTTTTTCCGCAGATGGAGTGTCTGGCTCAGATTTAGGGAACTAAGGACAAGCTGTGGTAAATAAAGGATCATTATCACAGCTGGCTCTGATGTGTAGGAGAGGTTTGGAGGGAAGCAGTGCCCCTTGTTTTGACCCCAGGGTTGAAAATACGAATTTGGAGACAGGATGCAAAACGTGAGATTGAGGTTTGTGTAGCACTTAATAAGACAGTGGCTGTTTTAATTTCTGATACAAGCTAACTCATTCCTGCCGCTGGGGGTCTGACATCAGCAATATTTCCTTAGGACTGAACATAAATACAGTAGGTACTGTCACCTGGAAATGTGAAGGTG